AGCTTTGATGCTATCTCACCACACACGGCTACGGATGTGACAAATTTGGTGAATGAAAATTTGGAGAATGATCAAGTCACAATTAATCCTACAACATTGGTGATTGAAGAAAATGTTGGTGATTTAAATGAGCATGAAAGTCGAATGGATGCACAAGAAAATGTGTTGCAAATTGAATTGTCACCATTACCTTTGAGTTGTGACGAGCCGATCACCACTGCCGAACCAATTGATCCTACTTTTGGTGAGCCTTTATCTCTTGAAAACACACCACATGTGGAAGCACCGGAGCCGATTGACTCCACAATGCCGAGACAATCACATGAGCCACATAAGGAGGTACATTCTCACTCCATTGATATTGATGCTTTAAGAGAAAGTATTGTTGGAGATGTACGTAGGGAAATCCAAGAGATGAGAGGAGAAGTTTCCCAAGAATTTGAGAAAGTTCACCATCGATTTGGTAATGTTGATGCCAAATTAAATGACTTTCATAAAGGAGTTTATGAAAGGGCTGAATCCTTGTTACTTGGACAAGGATCAATGCAAGGTGATATGACTATGATGACCACCAAACAAGAAGAGCACAACCAGGAAGTCTTGAAGATGTTCCTTGAGTTGGGAAAGAAAGGAACCGATTGCGAATCAAGGCTACGGTTGGTGGAAAATTAGTTGAAAGCTCTACTACACCAAACCGGCGTGAATAATGACTTGCTATTTGGAGTCCAAAAGAGCCAAAAAGAAGCTTCGGCAAGTTTTCAAAGTTATGTTGGTGCTGCCAAAAAGGGGGAAAGAGCACGAGGAGCTCCAAGCCATTTGGTGAATCACTTGATTGGACCGTCTTCACAATGGCCACTAGTTGAGCTTGTTCGACCTCCAGGAGCACCAAGAGGAGTCTCATCTATACCAAAGGTGCAAAGCCGAGGAAGAGGAAGGATTATGGATTATCTTGTGACTGCGCAAAGTTCGAATTTTCCAAGTCAACAAGAATGCCCAAGGTCATCACCTTCAAGATCAATCTATGATGAGAACAAGATGAAGCTTGTACGTGAGTTGGAGACCTTCTTCGGGCACTCAAGCAACGAGATGGTAGATGGGAGATCTTTTGAAGAATGCGTTGCTTGGTACCAAGCCGGAGCATTGCGGGGTGACAACATTCAAGAAGCATATGGAAATTATGTGACCGAGCAAGTCACCGCACCATATCAACCCAATGAAGGTGAACATGATTTTAAGAAGCTAAGGGCACATGTGAATGCCTTAATCGCCAAGAGGTAAAAAAAAAAAAAAAATTGAAGTCTCAATTTTTTTTTTTTTGGTGTACATAATCCTAGCTAGCTTGTTCGAATTATATTTTTGGTACAAAATATAAAGTTGCTAGCTTACGGCTTATCTCTTTAATTTATCTAGTTTGTTTAATTGCTTTAAAGTCTCAAGATTTTAATTGGACTTAGTAATTGCATGTGAAGCGTATAATTGAGAAAATAAAATTGAAAGGGGGAAGAAAAATTAAAAAGATAAAAATCAACACGCAACCCCACGTTTTAGTCTCAATATACGTTTAGGACCGTCCAAAATTAAAATCTCTAAGTCTTAAATGTGTTAAACCCGTCAAATGGCTAGTCGCAATAAAATTGGACAAAAAGATTATTTTTCAAAATTTGATATAGCCAAATGACTTGGGTATAAGTTTCGGCATCATCAAAAAGGGGGAAATTGTTAGGAATATATTGTATGAGTTTTGATGAGCCAAATGTATTTTGTAGACCCCAATTTATTTTATTTGAGTCAGTTCTGGTTCACAAAGTATGGTGCACCCCTACCATGAAGCCTACGTGAAAGCTGGTTTGAAGGAAGAATAAATGTAAGCGGGATCATATCTTAACAAATTTATGAAGCATTAAGTCATCAAAGGATGAGATGGAACAAGATTTGTTAAAGCACACTTAATACCAAATGATTTGTAGTTTGATTCTCATTGAGAACATTTTGGTGTAAAAAGGCTTAGACAAGCTATGGTGAAGTGCTACCGGGAAGTAATATCATGAAGAAATGGTTTTTATAACATGATAGTAGATAATATCGGATGATGACATCACTACTATCGGATGATTACGTCATAACGTGGTATGGTTCTACAAACCCACGTGAAGAGATGAGACAAAAGAATATAAGTCTTGAGATGTATCAAATGGTTAACTAGCCGAGTTGGAAGAAGCTAAGTTGGAAGAAGCCTTGCAAAGCAAACCAAAGGATACATGGTTTGACTCCCACTCGAAATAATTTTTTATCAAGGCAGGATGTCAAGATCATGATACTAGTTCATGATATAAGGTGGACATGATATACTATCATGTCATGACATCATCAAAGGAGCTATGACATCATCATGATAAAATTGTTAGGCAGAATGTTTCTTTTGAAGCTCTGTTTTTGCGAATGAAGTCGAAGGAGTTGAAGAAGCTGATACACGAAGGCAATCTTTTAAATACTCAAGCAAGAATCAGCAGATAAATTATTTGATCAACTCGGCACATCAGATCAATAATTCAACAAAAGTCATGGCAGAGAAATTCAAATTTGGAGGCTACCCATTTCAAGGAAAAGCTTTGTCAGATTAAAGAAGAGCAACGGCAAAATTATTCAAATCTTCTGACAAACGGAAAAATGACTTTGCAGACCAAGTTGGCAAAATTATTTGATCAACTACAATTCAAATTGGACGATCAAGATCGAAAGTTGATCAACGGGCAAATAGCTTTCATTGGCTATAAAATGCCCAAGCAAACTTGAAGACAAGAATGAATTCTACAACGGGGAATTACGAAGAAAATTATCCAATCAAACATCAAGTGATATATTGAGCTATATACAATAGAATTCAAGTCTGATAGAAGAAAACATTGTATTTCATTGTAAATCTTCTATTGAGTGTAGAAAAGGGGTAGAGTAACTAGAGAGAGTGAAAACCCCAGTTGGAGTGTAGCTTTGTGCGTAGCACTCGGTTGTAAAGGGTAGAGTAACAAGGGGAGCTTGTGAAAACCCGGTGAGAGCGTAGCTTTGTGCGTAGTTCTCGTGGTGTAGGAGTACAGCTTGGTGCGAAGTACTCAGGAATGCGGAGTAACAAGAGGAGCTTGCGAACAACCTTGGTGGAGTGTAGCTTTGTGCGAAGCACTCGGAGAAGTGTCGCTGGACACTTATTCACTATTGTATCTGGGTGATCGAAGAATAGTGAATTTCCTCCTTGGAGTGAAAGGAGAAGAGTGGACTAGGAGGATTACACCACCTCTGAACCACTATAAATCTCTCTCTCTCTCTCTATTTACTTACTGCTCAATTATATTTCGTGCATGCTTATATCAACTGTGAACTAACCCGTTACGATTTATCGCGTATCTTTATCTATCTGGGTTTGATAGTTCCCTCGTTTGCATGCAAGTGAAATTTTACATACATCATCCTTAATCTATATCAAGTGTTTCTAACGTGATGCATGTATAGAATCTCTCTTTGAGCACTACACAATTAAAGCATAAAACTTTGCCGTTACATTTTCCGATGTGCACACTCTAAGGCTGACCCCAACCCAGAAATTCCCCCCTCTTTCTAAATGATGTGGCATTTTATTAACCATTTCTATTTATTTTAATATGCCATGTCACTTAGCAAGCTTGCATCTGCAGCAAGCTTGCTGTTGGCAGCTTTTGCTGCCTTTTGCAGCAAAAGCTGCCGACGTGACCTTTTTCTTTTTTTTTTTTTTTTTTTTTTTTTTTTTAACGTAACTTTTGTGTTGTTTTATTTTTTTTTATTTTGTTTTGTTATTTCTTTTATATACATATAGTTGTGTTATATAAAAAAAAAAAATTGTAGTATAACTTGCATGAAATAATTTTTAGTTAATGATTTTATTTTGTTATTAATTAATTAATTTAAATGTTAAATATTATTTTATTTATTTTAAATTTTCCGTATATCTATTTTTAATATTTAAAAGTAATTTATTTTTAAAATTACTCCGTATGTTTTTTGATTTGAGGTCATTTTTATTATTTTTAGTATTTAATGTAATTTATATATTGATATACATAAATTAATATATAAAGAAGAGAAAATAATATTTATTAAGAAAAAGATATTAATTTTTTAAAGTGATGTGAAATTGGGGCCCACTTTAGAAAGTTGGTTGAAATTGTAGGGATGTAGTGTGAATAGTAAATGATTTGTAAATTGGGTGATGTGGAAGTGGGACCCATTTTAGAAAGTGAGAGAAAGTGGCTGGGATGAGGTTAGCCTAAGTTGTTATACTTGTTTATGCTTGTTACTTAGAGTTGAAGTTACCAAAGTGTTGTTTGCAAAGAAGTTAAAAAGTTAGAGAAGTCTATTCACCCCCCCCCCCCCCCCTCTAGACTTCTCGCCACCCTTTCGGGACCAACAGAATGGTATGTGATTATTAGCCACTGGATGACCCATATCAATGCACCACATGAATCCACTTGTGCACACAATAACAGTAGTATGCACCAGAAAATTACCCTATATATATATATATATATATATATATATATATATATATATATATATATATATATATATATATATATATTTGGGGTCAGGGCGGGGCCGGGAGGGGTATCCTCATCCCTAACAGGGAATTACATACATTTCTGGCCCCGGCCCGTTCTCTAAAAATTATCTCCATCTTCATTTTTGTTGGGATAGGATCACTAGTACAAAATGGGGCAAAGAAATATAACTTTAGGCTACCCTTCTTTCAACAAGGGTAGTGTGTTGTTCTAAAAAAAAGGGACGGTGGCATAATTGTAAATAAATCAATAAGAAACCGCTACCCTTTTTTAAAAAAGGGTAGCGATTTTCAAAAAATAAAAAGACGGAAAGAGTTTCCGCTACCCTTTCTCTTAGAAAGGGTAGCGAATAATTATATTAATTTTTAATTAATATAACTATCCACACAGAGGAAACCTTATCTGAAAAAAAAAAAAAAAAAAAAAAACAAAAACAAAACAAAAAACCCTCAAAACATCTCTCTCACCCTCACAACGACAGCCCTCAACGCCTCACCTCACCACACCGCCGCTACGCCTCACCAGACCTCCGCCGTCGACATCGCCTCCCGGCCTCATCCTCCCACGACGCCGCTGACACCGCGACTCCCTCAGCCTCGATCAAACGTCGCCGCCGACACCAAGCTAAGGACTCTAACGAGATCTGGAAAAAATAAAAAAACACTCAAACCAGATCTACCACGACTACGCCTCACACCTCAACCCTAACACCTCTCCTCACCTCAAAGCACTCAAACCAGATCGCTGGAAATTGCAACCTAGAGAGAAAAGTCATGGAAAAATTGAAAACTAAGTACAAAGGACTTCTACTTGCTGAGCTGAAGGCCGTACCTAGGGAGGTAATGGAGGAGAACATCTCGAAGAATTCTGAGGACACAAAAAAGCCACTGGGAATTTCAGTGGTGGTAATGGAAAACTATCCAACAGAGCAATCGAAGGAGAAGAAAAGATGGAGGACAATCCTCCGAAGCAATTGAGAGAGAAGGTCTCAGCGAGAGTTGAGACCTGTGGAATTCTGAAAGCTGGAGTTGAGAGGGAAGCTTATGTCCCTCAGAAAAAAGGAGAAGCCAGCTGATGGTGGAGGGAAGCCAGAGGTGACATTGGAAGCTACAGGCAAAGGAGAGCACAAGGGGAAAGAGGGCTCTCATACATGTATGCAATCTGTTTGTGGAAATGCCTTAAAGACAAAGCTTAATGGCAATAATTCCAACTGCCCAGCAACTGTTTGTGAAAATGCCCCAAAGGCAGTTTGATGAATAGATTGATTTTGATGTATTAAGAATAATATAATATATAAAATAAAATATATAAATATATAATATTGAAGAATCATTGAATATTAGTTGCAGAATCATTGCTTGATATCTTGAATTGCAGGTAAATAATACAGTATTTGAAAGTTGTAATCATTAGATAAAAAATACACTTTTCTTGCCTAGTTTGCCATCATGATCAGAAGTGCAATGGAATGGATTATAGTTCCCTTTTTAGCACTAATCTTCTGTTTCATTTGAGATTTGTGCAAAGTGCAATGAAATGGTTTATAATGGTTATTTATGTTGGAACTCACGTTTCCTTGTATCCTCAAAGTTTGCTTGTAGGAACCACAGATTATGCCATCATCTTGTGTTCTGTTTTTCATTTTCTTCCCGGAATCTAAACATTTCCACTTGAGAGGTCCCGGTTTTTGTAAACTAATCATCATATATCATGCATTGAAGTGAGTTTCTTTTCTTGAAATTTTAGCACGAGTTATAATATGTTTTTTGAGAGAGAGGAATGTTGGAAGATAGCGGTATAATCTTTTATCTGCAGTACCTAGTAAAGATTAGCTCATTGGGCATATAAGTGAATCTTTGGACTTTATGCAGTTGCATTTTATTACTTTTCACCCCAGTGTAGTTTATGGTAACAAACCCAAGAAATATGTATGTAACTAAGTATGCCCTCAGTTTCATTTTGATTTTTGCACTATACTACTTTCCCCAGGGTCACATAGAACAAGTATTTCTTCTTCTTCTTAAATTGTTCTATGAATTCGAGTCACTATATATCTCGAAGCTCTAAAGAAGATGTTATCTGATTATATGATATACTAACATTTTGTGCAGTTAGAGGTGTCTACAAACCAGGCTTTGACTCAACAAATTCCTCAGTTTGGTTTTCCTTCGAAGATACTTTGTCGAGTTGTGAATCTTCAATTATTGGTACATTGTTCTCTCCGTTTTGACCAGTTTGATTGGGTTTGGTAATTGTTAGTAAATTTTCATTGTTTTCTGGCTTTGGATTGACAGGCAGAAGCAGAGAATGATGAAGTCTATGCACAGATCACTTTACTCCCACAGGCAGATGTAACAAATTACTCAATCCATTTTGTTTTTATTGGTATAGAGAATCTGCAAACCGAATTATCAATATGATTGTTATATTCTGTGTTTATGTATTGTGATTGAAATTAAATTGATAATTGTAGCAAATCGAGCCCAGCAGTCCTGATGAATGCATCGTGCTGGATCCACCTAAGCGGATTGTTCACTCATTTTGTAAGATTCTAACGGCATCAGATACAAGTACTATGGAGGGTTTTCTGTTCTCCGCAAGCATGCCAATGAATGCCTTCCCCCCTTGGTAATTTTTAATAGTTACGTTTTCCTTTGTTTTATGTTCCGCAATTATTATTTGTTTTTGAATTGGTTGGAGTTATAATTATTGATTGTGATGTGATAACTGTGATTTTTCATTTTATTTTCTTTTGAATGCACTAAATAAAAATAGGTTCTTTTAAGAAGTTGAATAGAAATAAGTAAAATTATTTTCTATAATGTGTTTATGCCAATATTTTGAAGACATATATAACTTTAATGTGTTTGTTTCTATTTTCCCTATTTTGAAGATAATGAAAAACTGACATATAAATGACCTATTTGTGTTAATCTAAACACTATGATCCACGCCTAAACATAGCTGGAATTTGGTTTGGTTTGTGTATATTGATGCGCTGAAACAATATATTAAACATAATAGGTAGTTCCGAGAAGCTTGGGGCCTCCAAAGCTAAATATGGTATTGAATTCAAATTCTTCTCTTGTTAAATTACAATAGTATTACCCTTCAAAAACAAAAATTACAATAGTATTTATAGATACTATTTTGGATATAGAATATTCAAATGGTTATAATTGACAAGATGACACGTGTTTTTTGTATCTGTGATTATCTGCTTAGTATAACCGATGAGGATTGTATTATCTGAATCACCAATACAATAGGAATACAATGTAAATATAAGTACAGTGAAAGAGTCCAACTAGAACTCAAATACTATATTCCTAACACTCCCCTCAAGCGCAAGGGTGATTGGAAGTACATTGAGCTTGCTACGTAAAAAGAAAAACCGAACGCTAGAGAGGGCCTTCGTGAAGATGTCCGCCAACTGATCCTTGGTGGATATAAAATTAACCTGTATTTCCTTCTTGGAGACATTGTCACGGACGAAGTGGTAATCAATTTCAACATGCTTCATCCTTGCATGAAACACCGAGTTGGCACACAAATATGTAGCACATAAGTTATCACACCACAACTTAGGAGAAGACGACGGTGGCATACCGAACTCCTTCATGAGAGAAACCACCACGTGACCTCTGTAGAAACATCCGCCATAGACTTGTACTCGGCCTCAGTAGAAGAACGAGCCACAGTACATTGCTTCCAACAGGCCCAAGAAACCAGATTAGCACCTAGGAACATCGCAAATCCATTCGTAGACTTACGATCACTCAGATCACCGGCCCAATCCGAATCAGAAAACGCATGAATGTCAAGAGAGTGAGACTTACTAATCCGAAGATCGTAATGAACAGTATCTTTAACATATTGTAGCACCCGCTTCAGCATATCCCAGTGTGCCGTGGTGGGTGCATGCATATGCTGACAAAGCTTTTTAACTGTGAAAGCAAAGTTAGGACGAGTTACCGTAAGATATTGTAAAGCACCTGCGAGACTCCGATATTGCGTCGGATCAACATATGGCGTGTCGGACTCCTCCTCCGACTGAACAAGAGAGACATGCGTGGTTATAGCCTTGCAGTCAACCATGCTTGCTCGCTTCAAAATGTCGTTAATATACCGCCGTTGAGACAAGAGCATACCGTCGCCAAGGAGAACTGTCTCGATGCCAAGAAGCAACGTAGAGGTACAGTAGCAACGGCCCATGGCTCGGGCTGCTTAGGGATTACCTGCACATTCAAACTAGCAGCAAAAGGAAACACGGTCTCATCAAAATGCACATGGCGACAGATGAACACCTTGTTAGTGGTTAGATCCAAACAACGATAGCCACATAACGACTCAAGTAACTTAAGAAAACACAAGGGGCAGAACGACACTGTAATTTATTGTGGTTATATGGACGTAATAAAGGAAAACATAAGCAACCAAACACCCGAAAAAAGGAATAAAAGGGACGCGACTTGTGTAGACGAAAATGAGGACTCTCATTATCCAGTACTCTAGTAGGAATTTTATTTAATAAATAAACCACGGTTTCAAACGCATAATCCCAGAAACGTGAGGGAACAGACGCTTGAGACATTAAAGCCAAGCCACTTTCAACAACATGGCGATGCCTACGTTCTACCCGATCGTTTTGTTCGTTTGTATAGGCGCAAGATTGCCTATGAGTAATACAAAGACACGAGAGGGTAGAATGCAATTTTTTATATTCTCCCCATAAATATGACTGAATAGAAATAATCTTGCGAGAAAAGAAACGCTCAACTTGCAAAAGAAAACGATCAAGAATAGAATATAAATCAGTTTCCGCACGCATCGGATAAAACCAAACATATCTAGAGTAATCATCCACAAACAGCACAAAGTAGCGAAAACCATTTGCAGATAAAGGCGCAGGGCCCCAGATATCAGTATAAATCAACTCTAAAATATGGGAACTAGAGCGTTTAGTACGCGGTAAAGGAAATCGAAAGGTTTTCTCTACCTAACAGGCAGAACAACGAGACAAACTAAGACTAGTAGTACTAATAGACAGCTAATTTAAAATATGACGTAAAACACGAAGGTGAGGATGGCCCAGCCGATTATGACACACCACAGACGAGACACGAGTAGCAACTAGCGCAGCAGGACCAGGACTGGGAACAGACCAAGAATAAATACCACCTGAAACACCTCCTCTATGCAGACCTTCCTTGGTTGTAAGATCCTTCACAAATAAATAATGCGGGTGAAATTCAAAATAAACATGATTATCCCTAGCAAATTTCTGAACATAAAGTAATGAAGAAGAAAGAACAGAAACAAGTAACACACTAGATAAATTTAAAATCCTAGACCTAGTGGCTACTGAAGAGGAACCAACTCTAACAATAGGCAAACATGTTCCATCTCCGTCGCGCAGCATGTCTAACCCATGAAAGCTAGCAGCAAAGGTCACCGAAGGGTCTGGAGTGACATGGTTCGTGGCACCAGTGTTAGGGAACCATTGATGCGATCCAACCGAACCAATTTCATCACCGGAATAAGCAACGTGTGCTTGTGGCCACGGAGCATCCGCATACCTCCGAAAAAAGTTCAAGGCGGAGTGACCCTGGGCGTTACAAATTTGACAGCGTAGACCACCAAACCTGCAGCGACCACCACGTCCTCGCCGACCGCGACCGCCGCCGCGACCACCCTGTTGAGACTGCCCGTGACCACGACGAGCAGCCAACGCTGTATGCATAGCTGGACCACCAACACCATCCTCCGCGCAACGGCCGGTACTCCGGCCTCAACCCGTGGAAGACATAGAGAATTTGGTTGTCTAAACCGACCAGTCTTCCCGCCAACACCAAGTCCTCGATCAACAACTGCGCCTGGCCGAGGTAATTAGCGACTGAGGCATCCCCTTGCCGGATAGCCTGCAACTAACCAAGGAGATGAAGAGCTCGCGCCCTAGTCGTCGAGCCCAAGGACGGTTCGATGGAGAACCACAACTGCCGCGACGTCGACTTGCCAACCGCAAGATGCATGACCTCCTCGGACAAGGAAGAGATCAACATCGGTAGTATGGCCTGTTCTTGCTGGAGCCAGGTAGTGCGCACCACCACCGATGAACCAGACGCAGCAACGACACCATCAGCCGAAGCCGGCGCTACCTCCGGCAAGGCACCGTTCCGTCAACAAAGCCTAGCAAGCCCTGACCACGCAAGAAAGGAAGCAGTTGGGTTCTCCAAAAAAAAAAGAAAAAAAGAAAAAAAGAAAATTGCGGGCTGTGAGTTTGATGGATACGAAGTGGTGGGCAAAGGACAATGTATTGCGACAACGATGGGAGCAGAGGTGGTAGCCTCAGTCACAGTGCGCTCTATAGAGTCGCCAATAGAATCGACATCACCGATCGTTGCCATGAGAATAAAATGGGGAAAATCTGGCTAGCTAAATGATACCAAATGAGGATTGTATTATCTGAATCACCAGTACAATAGGAACACAACGTAAATATAAGTACAGTGGTTGCAGTAAATTTCTCAAACAAATAATTACCTGGAGTATCGGGTTATCGATCCACAAGAAAGTGGGGTGTATCAAGCACAAGCTACTAATCTATTCATGAGAAGCTAATCCTATCGAAAAGATTGATTGATCAAAAGTATAACTAATTAAAAGAAAACAAAGGTTGATGAAAGCAATAGATGAGGAATGAGATTTTTGGGATTCAAGTGTTTAATCACCTAGTGCCAAACTTAAATGCAATATTTAATCTGGGTTTAATCAAGTGTGAGAATGCAAACAAGGGAAGAAATTACTCCCATAATTCCAACCTAAAATAATTCAAGTGAATATTCATTCTCATGAAATAAACACTCATACGAATCAAGAACAAACACTCAATGTAAATCCTTACTACAATGCCATCTCCCGATGTGCAGTAGCTAAGAGATGACTCCTTAACAAATATGCCCTCTCCCAAGGTGCAATAGTCAAGTGGAATTTTGGGTGCCCTAAAATATGCCCTAACTCCCATTAAGACATAAAGATAGCTACGAAACGAGTAATTTTGGCCATTAACTACTAGCATCAACAATGCAAAACACAATTGCAACACAAGTTATAAAACTCAAATATCAATATATTAAAGAATCTGAGAACTAGGCACATAGGTTCATAAACACTTTCACCCAAAATCTCTTAGTCTTAGCCAAGCATGGCTAAAATATTCATAGCAATAATTTAAAAGAGTTTACAAGCAACAAAGAAAGTAAAAAAAAAAAAAAAAAAAAAAGTAAAGAAATTCTCTCGAATCTTCCTAGCCTTTCTTCTTCTTCCAAGATGACTTGTAGCTCTGGGTGTGATTATCTTCTCTTCTCTTGCTCCCAAAAATGCTGCTTTATCCCCTAGGGTTGAGGGAAGATGGGCTTTTTATAGCTGAGGCCAAATAGGAGCAAATTAGGAAGTTTCTGCACATAAGCAATTCTGCCCCGGGACGACCTCTCGACGCGTCGAGTCTTCAGCTTCGCAAAACCGAGATGATCTGAAATTTCTCAACGCGTCGAGTTTTCAACGGGAGCTCGGGAACGATTTGTTGGAACTTCTCGACGCGTCGAGTCTTCAACTCTCACACGGCTCTTGCTTCTGGGAATTTTGGACGCATCGAGTCTGATTCTCGATGCGTCGAATCCCCTGT